TGTGATCGCTGTGACCATTCACAGCTAGACACACTGGTATACAATGGATGGCATGAAAGGAAGCCATCCATTGTATACAACTGTCATGTGATCTGCTATGATTGGTCACAGCAGGTCACATGGTACTGGAAACAGGGCCGGTACACAGATCTGTCATCGGCCGTGTCTGAGGTACACGGCCAATGACAGATCACGCCGCAGAGCGGCCCTGCGGGCAGGCGCACTGCACATGCCTGAAAGGACGCCATATGGTGCCCACCCCCGGAGGGATGAGGTGTATTGCCGGCCGCCTTTGTGCTATTGGCCGGGCAGGAACCGGTTAAAATTATGCACAATCTCAAAGCACCCCATTCTAAAATGTAAAAAACTACTCTACACACATCCCTTATACCAATATTAGAGGTGATTTATTCTTCCAAAGCAAATACATCTTTGCACACTGGTATCGACTAGTATTCCAGTGTGTCCATCTCCTGTGTGTTTTTCTCCCTCACTCTGTTAATGTGACTCCAGTGCTGGTGGAGAGGGGCAAACAAGAATGATGTGCATGCACCCCACGTCTTCCTCATCAACTGATGATGTCATTGGTTGTTAGGATGCAGGCAGCTAGAAGGTCATAGAAGTGAACAATCAAAACCTGTTGCTTTGTGTACTAAAAAGGCAGGATTGATCCACCTGCTGGTTTGTATACAATTTTTTGGGCAATTTGCCAAGGCACCCCTGAAGAAGCCTGAAGGCACACCAGGGTGCCTAGGCACCCTGGTTGAGAAAACAAACTAAAAAAATCCAAGCGCCAATCAAAGAAAGTATACAATTATGCAGCTGTGCACCAGTGAAAACCACCAATAATAAATAACACAAAAAACAGCGCGAAAATTAAATAAATAAAAATAATCACAAATAAATAAATGTCCGTGCAAAAATATATATATAATATTTCAAACATAAGTCCTTATTTTCCCAAAAGGATTTTCAAGACAATGTTCCAAAATGTGCTTCCACCTAATCACCACGTGAAAAATAATATTGACCGCACTCACCAGATGGAGGTGAGTAATAAGCCTCATAGGATATAAGGGATCCTATAGCCCCTCAGGAGCCCCATAGGATATAAGGGATCCTATAGCCCCTCGAGAACGCCCTGTGGGTGGAGCGAAACGCGTTGACGCACTTCCGGTCTGCCGTCTTCTTGGCCTACGTCACTTCCGGTATTTGGAACGCACGCTGACTTTTGCGGTTCAAGCAGCCATTTTTGAGGTGGAAAGCTGGTCATCCTCTACAGTGATCCTTAAAGCGTGAGATCCCTATATTTTTACAATTTGGAAACTTGTTCCTTTGAAGCCTTTGAGGCTATTAAACAAGGCCTGTTATTTTATTGAAACATGTGAGTGTCCTTATTCTATGGATTTATATGGTATTGAGTAGCAGTATTACACTATGTAGCCTTTCTTTCCTTGCACATTATTGAGGATTCCATGGAGAAGTAGAGTGGAGTCGATTGCTGTATCTAAGCAGGGTGAAGGCGATTTGAGTTCCTCCTGAGGGGCTATAGGATCCCTTATATCCTATGAGGCTTATTACTCACCTCCATCTGGTGAGTGCGGTCAATATTATTTTTCACGTGGTGATTAGGTGGAAGCACATTTTGGAACATTGTCTTGAAAATCCTTTTGGGAAAATAAGGACTTATGTTTGAAATATTATTTATATATTTTTGCACGGACATTTATTTATTTGTGATTATTTTTATTTATTTAATTTTTGCGCTGTTTTTTGTGTTATTTACCCTGGTTGAGAAAGGCTGGTCTAGATAACCTGAGACCTGGAACCTTAGAAAGACGAGAAGAGGTGCAAGGACCTTTGTGAACACTCTGTAAGTGAAGATATGCCATATGGCTGTGCAACAAATTGGAAGGGATTGTCCCCTACTGCAATGAGTAGAAAACGCTAAATGGAGATAAATAGGAATATGCAGATTGGCAAGCCAAGCTATCCTCCTTGTCTCAGAGAGGCAATAACCAATGTTGTAGATTCCATACAAAATTTTAGAATCTGAAGGTATTTGTTTAGGTCCAAGTTAGGATGACTAAACCAGCTGGACTTTGGTACCATGAACAGGTTTAAAAAGAACTGGAACAGCTACTCCCCGAGACAAGAGATTAGTCATTCTGTATATCTCACTGTCCTTGGGCATATTTTGGTGGATTTGGGAGAAGAAAGCAGTAATGAGGGTAGAGTTTTGAACTCTATTTTGTACCCCTTTGAAACCACCATTTGAATCCACAGGTCTGGCACATCTGTGACACAGATATAGTCAAACTGAAACAAATGTCCCCTTACTCTTAGAAGTGAGATCTTTCCCTTCATTGGGAAGAGGTCTTTGAGATGGACTCATTTGGCTTTGTGGGCTTGTTCTGAAAGGAGGGGCTGAACGTAGGCTAAGAAGTTGAAGCCTGGGAAGAGCATTGAGGTGCTCTTCATTTTGAGGAGGTAGAGGAGCCTGAGGAAGGGATTCTGGAACTCACCAGGCTTTTAGTCACAACATTCTGCACATGGAAATCAGAGACATTATGTAGATTTGTGTCAAACGTTGATCTAATGCATCCACACAAAAGAGAAGGGCAGAAGATAATTGATGTAATTTCTCAGGACATGGTCCTGGAATACAAAATCATGTTGGTTGTTCATTGCCATAGTCCAGTTAGCTGTGATTCGGCAACCAAAAATTGAAGCTATAGCTGGTTGCAGACCTGGGCCTTTAAAAATGTCTCAAACCTTCTATCCATAGAATCTTTAAAAGGAGCATCTTCAGTTGGTACAGTGAGAAGTTTGTTTAAGACCAAGATGGCAGGGTCTACTAGCGGAACAGACCACTTTTTTGTAAACTCTTTTTACACTGGTTAGAGCTTGACAGTGCTTTTTGGATGGGTAAAAATCTTTTCTGGATTGCAACAATTATATATAAATGGACAGCATTTTGCACACAGTAGAAAAAAGTAAAGGTATATCAACATTGGAAAGCATATTGTGTGAAGCCATAATGTCAGGTGCATAGGAACCTGGGGGTGAGAAATCTTTTACAGCCCCCACTAACACAACTCTGGGTCACTGCATTCGAAGTCTGCCTCTTCTAGGGATAGCATATCCAAAATGGTGGCTGTATTAAAGCAGGTATTTACCCAAGGAATTGTGACATAATTGTCAAGTTCTTCCTCCATGAGGACAGTTCTATAGTGGTTCTAATAAGGATCTGTAAAGTCATTGTTTTATTTGAGACCATCCAAGTTTTATCCTGTGTTGAGCCCTGGTGAATGGGGAGTGGTACTGACCCCGAAAAACATTGGCTGTTTTGATATGATTTTTTTTTTTTTCTATCAACAATTCAAATGATCTTGGACTCTTATCTGATTTTGATAGGCTGTTTCTTTCTGTACTTCTATTGTTTCAATTACTGTCGGGTGCTCATCAAGGAAAACCTTGCTGTGTGGGACCTGCCTCATCCGAGATATTGAGTTTATTTAAAGTTTTATCTGACTACACTTGTGAGTTTAAAAGTTCCCAGTGCATCTTTGAGTATGTTGTTCTGGATAGCCTCAGAAAAGACTGGTAGATAGGCCGCTTGTTGCATGCTTGAGAGTTAGAATCAGATAAGGAGACCAGTGTTAAATAGGGGCCTGTTCCAGTACAAGGGAAGCATCATGATTATGAGACTGAGTGTTATGCAGCCTTCAGCAGAGCAAATGTTCACAGGAGTTTTTGACATGGCTCCCTTTTGCCTGGCTTCCACCATTCCTACAGGTGAGGGTATTCCCCTGTGGTGTATTCACTGAAATGGGTGCAGAATTGGAGTAAGTGTGTCCGAGAAGGAGTATGAAGCAACCCCATTGCAGGCAATCCTGAAACAAAAGTCCTCGTGGCAAAAGGGCAGGAGGAGGTGCCTTGTAGGGGTACCTTATGAAGGGCTATAGGAAGGAAGTGGCAGTAAAGTGTGCGATTTCTGGTGTGATTTAACACCTGGTCATCCACCTGAGACTAAACTCTGAGTGGTTGAACTTTAGCTCCAAATTTAAAAAGTTTACACAGTAAAAATATATATGCTGCAAAATCAGTCCTAGTTTCCTGAAAGCGCTAAGGTAAGAATGCATACTATTGGATTTTTGGGCTATAGCAAGTGTTACTCTGACCCCGTCTCACCTGTCCATATCCTTGGTCCAGGCTTTCTCTGTGAAGGAGAAGAGGTTTATTACCTTAGGACACTAGCAGTAAAAATCACAGAGTGGGTATGGTTATTGGGGGGGGGGGGGGGAAGAGATGACTAGGGTGTGTGTCCTCAAAAGCTTGCCAGTGTGGAATCACTTGAGGGTACCAGCCTAGAACCCAAGGTCTTTGCATATTCAGCCTGTATCCTATACTGTACGATTAAGATGGGCAAGCTGTGATTGTAATTTGTTTTTACTTTTTCTACTAAAATGGGTACTTATTAGGAATATAAAGTATGTGTTATCTCAATTTGACTGCAAAAGTAGAAATCTGCTTTATGGCAGCAAGGGGAGTAAGGCAAAGAACGGGAGAGCACTGAGCGAAAAATCAGGATGAGGGGACTCGGAGGAGCAAGGGCATAAGAAAAACAACTGCTAGTGAGGAGAATTGCAGCAAAAGACATAGAGAGTGCTAAGATTCTTGCAGCAGTGTATACAGGAAAGTTGTGAAATGAACTTTGCACACAAGTGAGGGTGTGAGATCTGGGAAGATGCATACAGATTGGCTGAATGTTTCCAGGAGCTGTACAGAGAGAAATGGGGGAGGGGTGATCCAGTACAGCGATAAGGGATAAGGTACTGGATGATAACAAATGCTCCTTGAGGTGAAATTTCTAGAATTTACTAAGAATAATTTATTTCTCATAATGCAGTAAATACTGTGGAAAAATAACATGAAAACCAGTGCAATGCTAACAACAAAACAATTATTTTCTTTTAGCCATCATGTCCAAGATATACCTTTTATTCTTCTCAAGTTAGGGGAGCTCCGGTATCCAGGATCTCCTCCGAAAGATGGAGGACTTGTTCCAGAAAATGCAGACCCCCTTTCTGTTACTGGAAACTCTTCAATACTAAACATAGACTTAGGAGGAGAATCCCCCATCTATAAAAAAAGAAGAAAGTATTTGGGTAAATTATTATTATACAGTATTTATAAAGCGCCAATAGTTCGCTCAGCGCTGTACATTACAAAGGGGGACAGAACATGTGACAGAACAATACCAATACAATGCAAAACATGAGGGGATCGAGGGCCCTGCTCCTTGGAGCTTACAATCTAGGAGATGTTATGTTTTATTAGCAGCATTCCTTTAAAACATACAGTTAGATCCATAGATATTTGGACACAGGCACAAATTTTTTTTTTTCCCCAGGTATTTACCAAAATATATTCAAGCTATAATTATATAATGGATATGGGCCGAAAGTGCACATTCTCAGGTTTAAATTGAGGATCTGTACATCCAAATTGGAGAAAGGGTTTAGGAATTACAGCTCTTAAGAGTAACCATCCCCACTTTTTCAAGGGACCAAAAGTAATTGGACAATGGAATATAATCAGAAATAAAATGTTCATTTTTAATATTTTGTTGAGAATCCTTTACTGGCAATGACTGCCTGAAGTCTGAAACCTATGAACTGGTCTGGCTTTTTTAGATGTGTTTTGGCAAATTTTAATCTGGCTTTTCTATTCTTCAGGCTTATGAATGGTTTGCACCTTGTGGTGAACCCTCTGTATTTGCTCTCGTGGAGTCTTCTCTTGATTGTAGACTTTGACAATGATACACCCACCTCCTGGAGAGTGTCCTTCACTTGTCTGGATGTTGTGAATGGGTTTTTCTTTACCATAGAGAGGATTCTGCAATCACTGTTGTCTCCCATGGACGTCTATGCCTTTTTATGTTGCCGAGCTCACCAGTGCGTTCTTCTTTCCTCAGAATGTACCAAACTGTTAATTTGGTCATTCCTAATGTTGCTGCTTTCTGTGATGGATTTGGTTCATTTTTGAAGCCTTACAATGGCCTGTTTCACTTGCATGGACAGCTCCTTTGAACACATGATCTAGGTTCACAGCAATAGATTCCAAATGCAAATACCAAACTTAGAATCAACTCCAGAGCTTTTACCTGCTTAACTGATGAAGAAATAATGGAGTAGCCCACACCTGGCCATGAAACAGCTTTTGATTAAATTGTCCAGTTACTTTTGGTCCCTTGAAAAATGGGGGATGGCCACTCTTAAGCGCTGTAATTCCTAAACCCTTCCTCCGATTTGGATGTATGTACATGCCCTCAAATTAAAACCTGAGAGTGTGCACTTTCAGCCCATATCCATTATATAACTATAGCTTGAATGTGTTTTGGTAAATACCAGAAAAAAAAAAAACAAAAAAAAATTGTGCTTGTGTCCAAATATATATGGACCTAACTGTAGCTAAAGTAACATTTTCGCTGTGTGCAGCTGACTGCAATTTTTTAGTTTGGCACTCCATGTGCCCTGGTTTCTACATATTAACCCAGCTTACCAAGTTGAGAGCCTGGCCCAACCCACTCCGCTTCTTAAAGCAGAACTAAACACTCCTATCATTTACATTACAGTCAAAGAAGCTGCCATCTTAGCCTCTGATCTGCAGCTGACATTTTGCTGCACAGGATCAGTTTCGACACCAGCCATTTAATGGTTTGACAGTTCAGTTGAGAGCACAAGCAACCATGACAGTTATCATTCAGGGTATGCCCTAAACTTAGCTGTTTGGGAAACCATTAAATCAAAGGGTTTAGTTCTGTTTTAAACCTAGTGGGCACTTAGGTCATCAATCACAGTGATGGATCAAGAGTGAGAAGGCAGTTGCATCAATATGTGCATACCAGAGCATCACAGATTTAGGGCAACCTAACTTTGTTTCCACCTCATGTTTGCTTTAAAGCCATATAAAAAAAAGGTTACAGGGTTTTTCTTTTGTTTTTTGTTTTTTTTACAAAGAACCATTCAAGATTAGGCTTATACAAGAGTCAGAATATTTATTAAATGAAGATTTAAAATGTATATGTGCAAAATAAAAAATGACATATACAATACAGTGGTTTTATGATTTGTTGATCCTAAATACATTATTTTCCCACTTCCTAGGGTGACAATGCTCTTCTTTCTGCATTGAAATCATTACAGTACTGGTCTCCCTGTGGACAGGGTAGTCTTAGATATACTGTATATGTAGTTTTTAAGTAAGACAAAAAGATTTTGGTCAGGGACTGGAAGACCGCTGAAGAACCAGCCCTGGTGATGACAGCGTTGGCTCCCTAGGCTGGTGAGTGTCTGTTTGTTGAAAGTCAGCAGCTACAGTATTTGCAGCTGCTGACTTTGATTTTTGACTGGAGTTCCTCTTTAAGCAGCAAGAGTTTTACTTTCTGTTGGAAAAAAGGTTTAGAGTATATAAATAAAAGCACCAGTGCCCATGATATATGGTTTGTCTTAATCCCTGTAACTATAGTTAGAAAACTTTCTCTGCAGGTAAATGTGGAAAAACATAAATAAAAGGCATGTGAAAAAGGAGTTCCTATACTACAGTTCCAAGAAAAAGTATGTGAACCCCTTGGGATTACGCGGAGTTTTGCATGAATTGGGCATAAAATGTGCTCTGAACGTCATCTAAGTCACAACAATAGAAGAACACAGTCTGCTGAACATAATACTACACAAACATAAGATTTTGCCATGGTTTAATTGCACATAACATGTAAACATTCACAGTGCAGGGAGGAAAAAGTATGTGAACCTTTGGACTTAATAACTGGTTGACCCTCCTTTGGCAGCAATAACCTCAACCAAACATTTCCTGTAGTTGCAGATCAGACCTGCACAACGATCTGGAGTAATTTTGGACCACTGCTCTTCACAAAACTGTTTCAGTGTAGCAATATTCTTGGGATGTCTGGTGTGAATCGCTCTCTTAAGGTCATGCCACAGCATTTCAATCGGGTTGAGGTCAGGACTCTGACTGGGCCACTCCAGAAGGCATATTCTGTGCTGTTGCAGGTATTGTTTTGTTGAATTGCTTGTATGCTTTGGGTCATTGTCCTGTTGCATCACCCATCCTCTGCGGAGATTCAGTTGGCGGACAGATGGTCGTACGTTTTCCTGCAAAATGTCTTGATAAACTCTGGAATTCATTTTCCCATCAATGACAACAATCTGTCCAGGCCCTGAGGCAGCAAAGCAGCCCTAAACAATGATGCTCCTTCCACCATGTTTTACAGTGGGGATGAGGTTTTGATGTTGGTGTGCTGTGCCTTTTTTTCTCCACACATAGTGTTGTGTATTCTTCCCAAACAACTCAATCTTGGTTTCATCTGTCCACAGTATATTTTGCCAGTAGTGCTGTGGAACATCCAGGTGCTCTTTTGCAAACTTCAAACGTGCTGCAATATTCTTTTTGGACAGCAATGGCTTCCTCCGTGGTGTCCTCCCACGTACTCCACTCTTGTTTAATGTTTTCCTTATTGTAGATGTGTCAACAAAAATGTTAGCATGTGCCAGAGATTTCTGTAGGTCTTTAGCTGACACTCTGGGATTCTTCTTTACCTCATGCAGCATTCTGCGTTGTGCTCTTGCAGTCATTTTTACAGGATGACCACGCCTAGGGAGAGTAGCAACAGTGCTAAACTTTCTCCATTTGTAGACAGTCTGTCTTACCGTGGACACATGAAGATCAAGGCTTTTGGAGATACTTTTGTAACCCTTTCCAGCTTCATGCAAGTCAACAATTCTTGATTGTAGGTCTTCTGAGAGCTCTTTTCTGCGAGGCATGGTTCACATCAGACAGTGCTTCTTGAAACCAGTAAACCCAAAACAGGCGTGTGTTTTTTTAAGGGCAGGACAGCTGTCAGCAACACATCCAATATCATCACACTGATTGGAGTCAAGGTTGGCTCACTCCTGGCTCCAATTAGCTCTGGGAGAAGTCATTAAGCTAGGGCCTCACATACGTTTTCCTCCCTGCACTGTGAATGTTTACATGTTATGTGCAATTAAACCATGGCAACATCTAATGTTTGTGTAGTATTATGTTCAGCAGACTATGTTCTTCTATTGTTGTGATTTAGATGACGTTCAGAGCACATTTTATGCCCAATTCATGCAAAACTCCACGGAATCCCAAGGGGTTCACATACTTTTTCTTGCAACTGTAAATACTATCATTACAGGTATAAACCACACACAGCTACTAAAATACTATATTTTTCTATTAGGAATCCTTTAACTATTTGCATTGAATATGAAGGTGTATCAATGGTGTTTTATTCCTTTTATTTGTTCACATATATGCCCTGAGTAGTATGAATGACATATAATTGTTAAAGCGGGGCCCTCCCCAACCTCCAAAATAAACAGCCTATGCTCTTTTAAAGTATTCAGATTAATCAGTTACAATATATAGATGTGTCAAAATAGTCATATGTATCAATCTAGCTGATGGTGAACAAAAACAAACAAGGGCGCACTCCCATCGTGCATTAACGTGGTACACCACGTATTTATTGAAAAATTATAAATACTCACAAACCAAAAAGGGATAAAAACAGAACAGGTGATCCGTAAGGGAAAAAAAAAAAAAGAAGAAGGAACAAAGAAAACAAAAAAGGAAAATATATATATATATATATATATATATATATATATATATATATATATATATATATACAGTCACACATGATAATGAGGCAAACCCTTTGGAACCAATCTGTCATTGGGATGCTAAATAAGGGACTGAATGTCAACTGCATCATTGAGACCTTTAGGCAGCAGAGTGTCTAATTTGTGTATCCAATAGGATTCTCTTTGTCCAAGGGGTCATGCGTCTCACTGAAGTGACAGGACACCGTGTGTTTGTCAAAACCAAGTAAGATGTTGCGTTTGTGCTCACCAAAGCGAGTCCTAAGTGAACGTGTAGTGCGACCAACATAAAAAAGCCCACACGGGCAAACCAAGCAAACAACAGACTGTGTGCCACAATTAATGAACTGTCTGATAGGATATACCCTGCCATCCGTACCCACGAATTCCCTCCTTCTGTGCCACATATAGGGACAGGCCCCACAATTG